GCAAGTTCAATTTACGTCTTAACCCCAAAAAATGTACATTTGGTGTAGAAGGTGGAAAGTTCTTAGGATATCTCGTAAGCCGGCGAGGTATTGAGCCCAACCCCGAGAAGGTCAAGGCGATCCTGGACATGGAGCCCCCTCGTTCCATAAAAGAGGTGCAGCGCCTGACGGGGAAGATGGCCGCACTCGGCCGATTTTTATCAAAATCCGCCGAGAAGAGTATCCCTTTTTTCGGCACACTGAAGAAGGTTCCACAGTTCCAGTGGACACCCGAGTGCCAGGCGGCATTTGAGGAATTGAAGAAGTATTTACTGGCTCCCCAGGTGTTAGCAAAGCCGATCAAAGGCGAGAAGCTGTACCTTTACTTGGGCGTCAGCCCTGGAGCCATAAGCTCCGTCTTGTTGCGAGAGGAAGGGGACACTCAGCGCCCCATCTATTACGTCAGCAGAACCTTGAGGGACGCCGAACTCAGATACTCGGTGGTGGAAAAAACAATCTTGGCCGTTGTCAACACGGTCAAGAAGCTGAACCATTACTTCCAAGCCCACGAAGTGGAAGTAAGGAGTCATCAACCTCTGAGCATCATCATCAGGAATCCGACGGCCTCCAACAGGGTCATCAAGTGGTCTGTCTATCTGAGTCAGTATCAGATAGAGATGAAGCCGAGGGCAGCAATCAAAGCCCAGGCCTTGGCCGACTTCATGGTCGAATGCACGGCACGGGACAACAACCCCATGCCAACGGCGGAGCAGGAAGATTGGTGGACTTTGTCCACTGATGGATCATCAGCTGCAAAGGCTTGCGGTGGGGGCGTGGTAATCCAATCACCTGAAGGATTCCGCTCCTATCATGCAATAAAATTCCAGTTCAAGGTATCCAATAACGAAGCCGAGTATGAAGCATTACTGAGCGGATTGAGGCTCATCCTCAACCTGAAGGCCGAGTACGTCAGGATCAGGTGCGATTCGCGCCTGGTCGTCAGTCAAATCAAAGGGGAGTTCGACACCAAGGAGGAACGGATGCGTCTATACAAGGAGGCGGCCTTGGAATTACTCAAAATCCTTAAAGGTTACGAGCTCGTGCAGATCCCGAGGGCGGAAAACACCAAGGCCGACGTCCTCTCCAAACTGAGCAACGACAGTCCCGAGCACATCTCCAAGATGGCTCACATTGAAGACCTGGGGTCTCCGAGCATTCATGTTCAGTTCATATCTGTCGTCACCAAGGAAGCCAGCGGATGGATCGCGGAATTGATCCGGTATAAGAAGGATGGAGTCCTCCCCGGCGACGAGACGACGGCCCGTCTGATCAAACGGAGGGCGCCGACGTATGTTATTGAGAATGGCCGACTATACAAGAGGTCATACAACGGCACGTTGCTGAGATGTGTTGACGAAACCAAAGCGGGGCAGATCATGGAGGAGGTCCATGAAGGAATATGCGCGGCACATCAGGGTCCTTTCTCCATGGCTAGACGCATTGTCCTGCAGGGATACTTCTGGCCGACCATGGTGAAGGACTGTGCCAAGCGCGCAAAGCGCTGCAAGGTATGCCAAGTCTTCCAGAACATTCCGGGAAGACCAGGAACCAGCTATCATCCCATCAGCTCGTCGATTCCCTTTGCTCATTGGGGGATGGACTTGATCGGATTGATGCCGAGGGCACCCGGTAACTTCCGTTGGATCATTGTGGCCATCGATTACTTTACAAAGTGGATCGAGGCCGAGCCTTTAGTTGGAGGAACATGAGAACAATGCTCAAAGTTTGTGAGCAACAACATACTCTGCCGGTATGGTGTCCCAAAGCAGATCACTACAGACAACGGAACCCAATTCGAAGCTGGGGATTTCAATGAACTTTTGGGAGATTGGAAGATAAGGCACACCTACAGCTCTGTGGCATACCCGCAAGGGAACGGCCAAGTAGAGAACGCCAATCGAACAATCATGGACGGGATCAAGAAGAGGCTTGAATCCTACAAGGGAGCATGGGTCGATCAACTCCCCAACGTGCTATGGGCGTACCGTACCACTCCAAGGAGGGCGACTGGAGAAACGCCGTTTTCCATGTGCTACGGCCTGGAAGCGAGGGCACCCTCGGAGGTGTTCATCCCGACATGGAGGGAGGAGAATTATGAAGCCAAGGAGAATGAGGAAGCCATGGCGGCCGATCTTAATTTTGTTGAAGAACGCCGAGAGCAAGCTTTCGTCAAAGCAGAGAACTACCGGAGGCAAGTTAAAGAATATTACGACCGCAAGGTTAGAGCAAGGGAATACCGAGTAGGGGACCTGGTACTCAGGAAGAGGGAGGCTAGTCAGCCCACAGAAGGGGGAAAGTTTGCCAAAAGCTACGAAGGACCATACAAGGTCATAGCTGTGCTTAGGCCAGCCACCTACAAGCTCTCCACGCTTGAAGGTCGCGAACTCGGCAGGCACTGGAACACGCACAATCTCATTTCTTTTTACATGTAAGGCGCTGAGAACCGTAACCAGTCGGCCTCGGTAGCTAAAAAAAAATCTTCTACTTAATGAAATACTCGCTTCCACGCGAATTCCGTTGTTTTTGCTTTACGCAATTTAAAGACGCTGCTTAGCGCTATCGGGCTCCCACGCCACGATTTTTTATGGCCTCACGCGGTCTTTCGCTATACGCGAACTAAGTCCCTTTGTGCTCACACACATCACGAAAAACGAAATTTTGCCGTCTCACCACTAGACCATGCCTATTGCCGAGTGTCCCTTCAGGGGGGAGCCCATCCGCACGGCCTAACCCGGGGAATTGGCGCTCTGAACGAAACGAAGAACAAGGTCCGAATGGGCACAACTTGTTAATAGCACAAAGGGCAGCGCAAGGTCCTGCTTAGGACAAAAAACTTGCAATCGTGCTTAGGATGTCTTCCACGACCCCTAGTCCTGCTGAGGACACACCTTTCGCCGCCCTGCTGAGGGCGTGAGCGCAAAAGAACCCTTCGGGGTGTAAAAAAAAAAGAAAAGGAAAAGCAGAACACAGGCAGTTTTATTACACAAAATCCGCCCAAGACGGCGATACATCATAATTCAGGCACAAGAACGTGAAGCATTGTTTCCCGAATTGTCAAAATACACATTTATTTCTTCAGAAAATGAAGAATCTACGGAGGAAGCACCATGGTCGACCGCGAGATGCGCCTTGAGGTCGGCGCTGATCGTCTTCTTCCGGTGAGCACGACGAAAGCCTTTGAGGTAGGCACGCACGTTCGTGCCCACCTTGCGCACCAAATGCCCAGACTTCTGCACAACCTCCGTTGGATCAGGTTCCTGGCGGAAGGGACTTTGGACAGAATCCTCACTCAAAGAAGGTAGATCGGGATGAGTACACTTCCCCACCGCAGTCGGAGCAGTGGCAAAACTGGGCAAAGACGAATCTGCCATAAGGAAAAGAACAAGGGGGAGTAGCCCGAATGAAGGACGTTCCCTCTTCAAGAGAAGGAGTACCAGGGCTTAACGCCATATTGCAAAAAAAAAGAGAGACGCAAACAAGGAAAGGAACAATGCATCACATTTATAATCAGCACAGGGCACTTATTACAAAGACATTCATTGTACACAGTCAAACTCCATTACAGAGGTATTCTCGAAAGCTACAACATTTATTACAAGCCCTACACGATACGGTTGCAACGTCGGCAACATTTATTACACAGCGGCACTGAAAAAGGAAAAGATATGACTTTCTCTACCCCCCATGGATTTTCGGACAAGGGAAGAAAGATCCCCAAATCCATTGGTAGGTAGAGAAAGTCATGGGGAAGTAGACATGCCCCGGGCCCAATGGACTTCAGGAAAAAACAAAGCCCAGGCGCCGAAGGACGTGGATGGCCCCCCGATTTTGCAAACCTCCATCGGCAAGTATACAGGGGAGGGCCATAATAGGGAAACTTAGGAAGAGCCGACAGACTCCTCCGGGTGATCGTCACCCGTGGGGATGGCATCAGCGGTTGGCCGAGCGGGCTCGACCAAAGGCGCTGGCTATTGGGGAACTCCGTGAAGATAATTCACGAGTCTTCGGAGACGTTTGATCCGCCTTTCCAACTTCCTTGCACGATACCACCATGAACTTGTGCGAGATTCGGCATCCTCCACCGGAGGGGGAGGACGGCGGCGAATGGTCTCCCGCCGGGAAGGCAGAGGACCGATCTCCCTGGAATTATTGGAAGCCATGGAAAGATTTACTTAAGGAACGAAGAGATGGACTTCACGAGGCAATGAGAAGGCCAATTTATAGGCCCATGAACGAAGGGATAAGGGAGTTGAACAGTCGCGATGGTTAGAAGTAAACTGTGCACAGTGACACGTGTTTGGCACAAAGCGATGGTCCAGTGGTTAGGTCAGTTTGCGTGGGAAAGCCAAAGAGTCAGTTCCTCAAAAGGCGCAATTCAAATTTATTCAAATAAATAATGTCAGAAATCTGCCCAACTGTTCACGCATGCAACACAATAGTAATAAAATCTTTATTACAGTGAAGAATAAGATCGCAAGCATTACAAGGAAAACACTAAGGAAGGGCATTTGAGGGTTGCTCGTCGCCGACTCCATCTGCGCCCGCGTCCTCGTGCTCGGGGGTCCCAAGGTAATCTGGATTCTCCCCGAGTTCGGCATTAAGGCTAGGTGCATCTCTGGAATGACGACCCCGGGCGGAGGGAAGGACGGATCTACTCTTCTGGCCCGGTGAAGGACGAGCTGAATCCCATGATAGACGCCACTCTCGAACCACTTCGTCCCTTCCACTCCCATCTTCTCAGTGCTGGCCTCGGTCTTGAGCCAGTCTTCGTAATAAGCGGCCATCCTCTCCAGGCAGTTTTCTTTGAAGGACGGGGACTGAAGGAAGTCAGAGATGGCGCGCTCCTTCTCGGCAGCAACGGCTTGCTCCCTCTCGGCAAGAAGCTGATCTTGCTCCACCTCCACTGACCGCTGCGCGGAGACAGCTTCGGCCAATTCAAGATCCAGCTCGGAGATCCGGCCATCGGATTGGCGCAGTCGCCCCTCGAGCTCGGCCATTGAAGCCGTCAGTTGGGAGGCTGATTCCTCCGACTCTTTCAGGAGGCCCTGCAGCCGGACCACCTCCTCGGACTTCGCCACGGCCTGCATCTCAAGCTCGGCGGCCCGTTCGTGCTCGGTTTCCGCCAATTTCCGTAGGCGAGACAGTTCAGTTTCCACCGAAGCCAAGAAGTTCATGGAAGAAGAGAACTCGGCCCCGGCTCGACGTTTGGTGATTAGGCTCAGTTTCGTCGACACCTGAGAAAAATCAAGTCAGTTATTCGCACAGATAAAGAGAATTAAGACGTCAAGAACCTAACCTGTTTGTGGAAGTTGTCCATAAGCCCCTGCAAGGACGAAAGAATCTCGTCCTCATCTTTGAGCGACGCGGAAAGAGAAGTAGCCTCGGCCTCAGCCTGCACATCCCCGTCGGCCTTGTCGAAGGAAGCGGGACTTTTTCCACCCTGAAGACAGCCTGGGCGCTTGCTCGTTGGACTCTGGGTCAGAACCACATCCTGCTCGGACGCGGTTTCCTCGTCCTCGACCTGGATGAGCTTCCTCTTTCTTTGATTCCGGGCCGGAGTTGCTTCCTGAGTCCGGGCCGAGGCAACAGATCCAGTTGCACCCACGGGTGAAGATCCTTGTTGAACCTCCGCTCCTTGGCCTCGGTTTCGAGCCAACAGTTTGGCCTTGCGAATAACATCCACCGGATTCATATCTCCTGCCAAAACAAAACAATAGTTAAAAGACTCGGCAACCAACAGGAAAAACCTTGATATGAGGGACAGATCTCCAGAAGGTTTCGTACCAGCAACCCCCTCGGAGCAGGATGGCTTCCATGATTCTTCATGGTTTCCGCCTTCCCCGCCATTTTCCCTTTCGTTATCCTCCAACTCTATATCTTCCGACCTCGGGGCACTCTCCTCAAGCCCATGCTTAGGGCGACTCCCAAGCACGGCCTCGGACAGCTCGAATTGGCGCTCGAGGGAGATAAGGATCCCCACCTCCGCTAAGTTCTGCTCCGTACACACCGTGTACACGTGAGGCGGTTTAGGCCGGTAGTCTTCCAACAGTTTTTGCGTGTGTGCCTGAAGCTCAGAAGTGGCCGCAGGCCGAGGATGACGAATGAACGTGTGACATTCGGGAAACCTGGCGTGGAAGGGATGCCGGTCCCCGGGAAAGCCAGAAACGAAGACAAACTTGGCCTTCCAAAGTTTCAGGGATGAGGGGAAGACGACCATACTAAACTCGGCCTGGGAAGAGACAACGGCATACGAATTCCCTTCATTGGCCCCCACTTTGGAAACCTTGAACATATAACGGAACAAGTCTAGAGACCAGGGGACTCCCCTCTGATGACACTTAATCAAGAAAATCGAGAAACAATAGTAGGAGTGGGGACTGAGCTGACCCGGCAAGAGACGATAGAAATTCAAGAATTGGACTATCATATCGTGAGGGGGAAAGCGAAGGCCGTAGCGCATGGACGCCACGTGCACCCCGACCTCGGCGTCGGGACAGGTCACAGAGAAGACATGGTTGGTTGTGTGTGGTCGGCGCACTATGTAACCGTCTCCCACAAAGCGGAGAGCCTCGTCAAAGTCAATATCCAACAGAAGACAACCCGTATTCGTAATCGGACCCGTTTCCAGCACGGTAACGGGTAGGGATTTCGGGTTCTTTCCCTTGACAACTTTTGATCTCTTCTTCTTCTTTTTCAAGGGCGGTGCCCGGGACGATGACGCCACGGTGACGGACGTGCGGAGAGGCACCGCGCTCAAAACCCTAGAATGGTCAATTCCTCCCATCAAGCCATCGGGGCGGGGGGAGGGATCTTGACGGTACATTTCTGTAAAGCAAACCACCGCTGAGTCGACAGCGAGGGTGGAAGGATTGGAATCAGAAGACGCCATGAGAACGGAGAAGAGGGAACTAACCTTCAAATTGGACTGCGACGGCGACGGAGGCGAACGGAGATGGTGAGCGAAATCAACGGCAGGGCTGCGGCGCAAAAAATGGCAAAAGTGGAGAAGATAGGGAAAATTCTCAATTTTATACGATAAAGGGACCCGACCCGACTCGATAAAAAGGCACGATTACGAAGAGACATGGCACTTCCTTACGCGTAGGATCACGAATCATCGTGAACGGCTGACAAAGGAACAGTACAGAGACGTTGCATCTCCCAAGCGGTACAATCATACTTCTCAGAATCGAGGGGACACGTGTAAATCTTGCTAGTTGGACACTCCCCAACCCTCGTCAGTACTCGACTTGGGCAGCGGGGGACTCCTACACATGGCCAAGATTTTCAAAATTTGAAACTCAAAAAATTCAAGATCCCAACTGTTGGATTACTTCCCTCGGCCTCGCTACGCTCAGCCGAGGAAGTAGGGGACTCATGATGGATACCCGGAAATGGGGGTATCCAGCCCAGCAGGAAGACGGCCCAGCCCAACTTCGTCAAGGCCCACTTGACGGAACCAGGACAAATGACCAACAAAGAGCGCCTCGGCAGCACTGCGCACTCGGCCCCGGCAGGGTTGGTCATCCTCGGAGCAACCACGGCCGACCCTCCATCCAGAGGCTTCCGAAGGCAAGTTAGGCGCTCGGCCTCGGCCACGAGCAGCGGCAGACCAGATCTAGGCGAGGTCGCCGGCCTGGTCAGGATCAAGGGGCCCACGATTAGACTCCTGCCATGCCTCTGGAAGAGTTGCTATAGCCATCCTACTTGTAACCTACTTTGTGTAGAAGTCCTAGGGTTAATTATGTGGTTGGACGCCGCCAGTGAACAACCCAATCTTAGTGGGCCCAGACCGTTGGATTACGGACCAACGGTCGGAACCCTAGCTGTAACTTGTATATAAACCTCTTCCCTTCTAAGGGAAGGGGGACTTACGTTCTAAGTATTATTCTTACTAGCACATTATTACTCTCAATTCACTTGACCCCTCATACTTTGTGCGCTCGTACTTAGTCCAATACTCGTCCGCCTAGTTACCTAGGCCCCCGGGTTCCATAACCCAACAGTAAGTTTGGATGTTAACACTCGAGACTAGGCCGCTAATTGTTATTTAACATTGTGTTTAATAATCTTTTGATAAATAATTATTATGGATGATAAACCTACTGATTAGGATTAATATTAATGATTAAATCATTATTAAAATTGAATGTAATGATGATCACGAAATCGGTGTGTTGTTAAGGCTATCTCGAAGACCTCTAAGATTGACCTCAAATTAGATTGGGCCTTGCGGGTATAAATATGTATATTCAGTGGCCTTGGGTAAAAACGTACGTACGGGATCCATAAACCAAACTAGAGGAACTCGTTTGGGGATACCACCCAACCCGACAGTTAGTATTCTACTGTTCGGTTTTCTGGATTTCTACCTTAAGCAAAGGCTAGTTTAAGAGTTGGTACATAAATCAGAATATGTACCTTAAACTAATGACCTAGCTTAAGAGTTGGTTAGAAGTACCTTGACCTAGTAATAGTTTAAGAGTTGGTAATCATCAAAGGATTGGCCTTAGACTAAGCTTAGTTAATGATATTGTTTAATATGAATGTTGAATATTGAAATATTGAAAATATCATGAATGAATTATACATTGCGTGCATGATATCAAATGGTTGTTTGTGAATTGAGATTCAATTTATGTGGATGTTCGACGCTTTGGATATGCTTACTCAGCTTCATCGCTGAGCGTGTAGTATGTTTTATTTGCTACACGCAGGTTGGCAGAATGAATGATTTGCATGTTCCTGGCAGCGGAAGGGGCGAGATTGTCGTGGTGGAATTTGTGATTTTAAAATAAATAATTGTGTTGTTATTAAACATGGATTAAATTGCTTCCGCATTATTGTTAAACATTCCGTATTTTGCTATAGTTATGTATTAAACAATATTTATGATGAATAAAAGTATTTGAAATGTTTTAAATTTTACGATTACCAAGTTAATACTTTAGTCCGAAAGGGGCTGCAGACCTGGACGGATTAGGGTGTTACACAGATTCTCAACTACTCTAAGGAAGTCGTTAGGGTTACTAGAGAGGCAATCAAAAGCTTTGAGTATATTGATGCAGCAACAATGGAAGGTGCAAGGTATCCGGTTTACCTTGCTTATGTGAAAGAAGATATGAATGTCGTTCTAGCTCATTTATGTGGAGAATAGGATTGATTAGGAATACACTCTAGGCATGGGTCATTTTCAGTTTTAGTCCTTCGATTATGCTATTTTGGTCCTTCAAAGGAGATGGAATCAAGGATTTTGAGGAGCTGGGCATCAGTTTTTGCTTATTGTATTATCTTTGTTGCAGTTTTTGGGTTTTGAACTTCATCAGCAAGTGTTTGGTTGCTTATTGGTGATTGAAATTTTTTAAGCTATATATATGAATCAAGCTCTTTTTTGGGATGCTGCACTAAAGGATCAGTTGTCCTTGATTTAGAGGATAAAGAGCAAGATATTTTGAGTTTATCAGGCCACAAATCACAAGCGGAAGATTAAGCTGCAGGGTTTCCAATAGCAAGACAACAAAATTTGATACCCAGCATCACGTGGCTAGCGTATGCTATGTTGATACCACTGGCATCTGGAATTACTTTGTTTATTTCGTCAATTAGCTGTTTGGCTTTGCTTTGTTTGGGTCCTCTTGTTTGGGGTTTTGGACCTCCCCCACTTGGCTGTACTCTCATTTTATGTTTAATAAAATCTTATTTTATATATATATATATATATATATATATATATATATATATATATATATTCTTTTTTTAAAAAATTTTTTTTATTATTAATGAACGGTCGGTTACAAGCAGGGGGCCCGAGGCCCATTAACCTCGTGACTACCCCGGGGCCCCTTAACACCCGAAGTAGATAGCCCACTATAGAATGCTCAAAGTAAGCCCAATCTAAAGTCCAGCCCAAAACTACTTCTCAGGGGGTCACCCATCATTTTTGCTACCCCCATGCCAGCACGCTTAACTCTTTAAAATTCCTCTAAATTTGCATCTTCTGGGAATCGAACCTGGGTGGCGTGGTTTGCCGATTAACCCTGTGACCATCTCTACAGGGGGAACCACACACACACACACACATATATATATATATTTGAAAGAGAAGTTTTATTAAAAGATCAAGAAAAAAGTACAAGAGTAGGGGTTTGCCGTCCCCAACACCTAGGCCAAAGCATAAAAAGTAAATTCTACTAAAAAAGAAACAAAGCACTAGATAACGTAACAAGTAAGGAGCAGGCTACAGGGAGTTCATTCACTGGATAACAAGGCCGTCCCCACCAGTTCCTTCATTGGAGTACCTTCACTGGACAACACCTAGACCATCCCCACCATTCTATGAATGCTTTTAGTACATGGTACTAAAAAAAGAAACAAAGCACTAGATAACAAGCTTTGTTTGTCAATATTCTCTTGGATCACTTCCTTCACTACCCAGAGGTAGGGCAGTAGAATATCCATTGCTTGAGCCAAGCAGACTAGTCCTGACCTGCATTTAAGGCTTATTTTACCCTATTTGTGATACGGTATCGTATCGGGATAGGGAAGGATTTCGAGCACCTTCGAGCTCTAAGAACAAAAGAGGTGAGAAAGAGAGGGATTAAGGTTTAGGAGAAAGTATTTTCTTTATTCATTGATTAATAATTCATTCAAATGGATGCATTTATAGCTAGGACATTTAAAGAATCCTTACCATAGAAGGAAACTAAATATTCTAGGAATCCTAATTATAAATGGTAACAAATATCCTAACAATATAATATTACTTTCTAATAATAATATAATTAACTAACCATAAATAATGATACTACCTAATATAATAATAATAATAATAATAATAATAATAATAATAATAATAATAATAATAATAATAATAAT